TTTTGCTGTCCGTAGGTGATCAGACAGATGAACCTAGAGCCGATCCCAGAGGGCATTGAGGAGGAGATGTACGATGGCGTGGCTGTCTCTTTAATCTGTTGATTATGCTTTATTTAATTAACTTTAATGCTTATTACGTTTTCGGGCAAGATCCCAAGTTGTTTGACTTTAAAAAGGCTTCCGCATTATTTTAAATTACTCCGATGGATTTTTATATGTATTGAAAGAACATTTGTTTAAAATTGTTCTGAAAATGTCGCAAATTCGGATACCAATTCAGTGGCACACCGGTCCGCTGTCTCACGGGTTTGGGTCATGCGGGTTGGGGTGTTACATTTTGGTATCAGAGCATTTGGTTTTAAAATCGGTCTTTGGACCCTTTCAAAAAAAATACAATGAATAATTCAGCCGCATCCGCATCTCACGTAACTCCTCTGCCCCGGGAAGGTAATAAGTATTTATAGCTTTATCTATTATATGTTAAGATCTGACTTGGGAATTTCCTTATTATTTTAGAATGAGTCAAGAATCGACCCACGGTCAGTACGTTCCGGAGCCGGAGCACGTGAGCGTGCACACGGCGAACACCGAGGGTTCGAGTTTCACGCCTCCGGGTGACGGAGGGCAACAGCAGAATCAACCTGCGCCAGCGGGACAGCCACCAGCTGTACCACCGCCAGTCGTACCACCGCCAGTGATGCCACCGTTGGCGATACCGCAGGTGGCCTACGAGCATATGTTCCCGGCCATGATGGCCCATTATATGCAGCACATGGCGCAGTTTATGCCCATGTTCCAGCCACCGCCACCACCACAGCCGCAGCCGCGCATCGTTACCTTCAAGATGTTGAAGGATAATGGAGCGGAAGAGTTCCGAGGAGACAATATGGGGGAGCCCGAAATTGCATTGGATTGGCTTGAGCAGATGGACCGGGTACTCAAGAATTTGAGAGTCCCAGATGCTGATCGCTCGGAGTTGGCGTCACAGATGTTCCGGAAGGGCGCATATGATTGGTGGAAGCGCATTGACCAGGATCCACACACGCCCAAACCTTGGACCTGGGAACGCTTGATCGAGCCTTCACGAAGGAGTACGTCCCCACCCGGTACCGCGAGGAGAGACGCGATACTACACAGGAATAAATCAATCTCTTTTTGAGTGAAATTTACTACTGCTAAAACTCTTTCGTCAAGTTTCAAAAGAAACTAACACATTATCAACAATGTACCATCGCGCGATAAAAGCACTATGGGGGATAAGAAATAGCTGTATCCATACACTCTTGCATTCTATTCGCCATAACTTTGCACGTGATCTAATTGATAACATTACACAGAGATATCGGCCAAACATCACCCATCGTATTAGGCACACTCTTTTTCAGAATCAACACAATATTAGTATTCGCTTCATGGTCGACATAGTTCATAATTGCTTGAGTCACATCATCCCTGACTACTGCCTAGAAAGATTGAAAAAATCCATGGTTAAAGTCGTCCGCTCCAAGGAACTTATCCGGATGCATACCAAAAACAGCCCGCTTAACCTCCTCCTTCGTAATTAGTCCGCAGAGGTGGATGCAAAAACTTTGAAAAATCACAAAAACTTGCCGGTGGAGGCAAAAAACTTTATTCGCACACTAGATTTTAACACCGCTGGAAGTGGTCTTAGTTTTCTAATATATTAGTCCTGTCTCAAAGTTTCTGTCCAATTTTAATATTTTGTAATCAAAATTGACAAATTTTGGCCATAAATTAAATATAGGTACAAAATTAATTTTATTACATTTATCTTCTAAATATTTTCAAAGTATTTTTTAATTTATTTAACGTACCATATAATTTTGAATTAATTATAATCAATGGTTGATCGTGGTTACAACCACAATAATAACCCAGTTGGATCCCACGAGAGTAGGGTCTGGGGAGGGTGTGCATACGCAGACCTTGTCCCTACTCAAGAGTAGAGAGGCTATTTTCAAGAGACCCTCGATTCAAACAACAAAGATAAAAATGAGAACATATAAGACATATATAGCAAAGATAACAAAAATACATCACCAAAGGGCATCAAGCCTACAAGCAAACAAAGCACACAAGTGGAGAAACAACCATAAAGTCTAAGGCGCCTACCGGACTACCCTAGTCCTAACTCTCCATACGCTCTTATCTAAAGTCATATCCTCAGTAAGAGTAAGAAGTCTTAGATCCTGATTAATCACTTCTTTCCAATTCCTTCAAGGTTTACTTCTTCCCCTATAATTAATTTTGAATTAATTATAAATCAAATGTTGATCGTGATTGATTGTAAAAAAAATTAAAGCTGAGCAAACACTCAAAGACGGAAGGAGTATATGGTACCACATGTTACAATAATTAATTCCAATATATCAAAATGCCTTTTTAATGATTATATAGTTTAGAAAGGGTCGCACTTCAGGAACATTTTCGAAATCAATATCGGAGATTGCAGGATCGACCGTAACCATTTCGAAAGGGGGCGAGTTCGGGAAGGGGATTGAGATTATGAGATTGGCAAATTCTTCAGTGGATCTAAGGTCGATATTCATTTTATGGACCTTAATACATTTGTAGGATTAAAAAAGTGGGCCTATTGCAAAAAAAATATCTACATGCAAGTTAATGAAAAATGTGAGATTATATTCGGACCTCGAAACCATGTAAGCATTATTCTACGAGATTATATTAGGGGTAGAGGACCAGTTCCGATTACCCAAAAATAAGCATAGCAACACAAGTCTGGTTTTGTTTCAATTTCGGGAATTAGTTAGTTTTGAATACTAATTTGAGAAAACACATACTCCCTCTGTCCCTAAATATTTGTCACACTTGTATTACCGAGGTAAAATATCAAGCTTTTTCAATTCATTTTATTTACATATTGGTATAGAAATAAAAAATAAAATCTACATATCAAAAAACTACATGAAAAGTTTTTTGAAATAAGAAGTGTCAAGAATATTTTATTTTATCAAATAACCAATGAAAATATAGAAATAAATAAAAGTTCTCGCAACTGCTAAAAAAACAAATGTTGAAAATATCTAGGGACGAGTGAGTAATTATTAAGTACCGAGTACCATTCTTAGAATTTTAAAAAACAATGTGTTTTGGCAGTTGTTTTCCGCAAATTCTTCGCTTAACTGAATAGTCAATACACGGAGACAGAAACATTCAAGCAGTGTGAAACCAGGGAGTTGCCGCTATCTGCAGTTTAGTGGCAAAAGGCCCCTTTTTCGTTGGCTCGATTTCAAAAGGAAATGATGATTTTGGCTTTCTTCCTTGAATCACGTCCTGTATTCCCTCTGTCTCTCTTTCTTTTTCTCAATTCTGATGATAATTACAGCATGAGCTTTCCATTGTTGATCCAATCATGTTCTCCAACGCTTAACGAACCGCAAGTATATCCGCCAAACCCTAAATCACCCCCACATCACAAGGGTCGATCAAAGGGTTCATGGCAACCCGCTGTCGATTAAGATCCGAACCTTCTACCATGCTCCTCTTGTACAGTTGGATTCTTCTCAGCTGGATCCCTGGTAAATTTTCAACAATCGCTCCGTAATTTGTGTGTTTTTTTTACTGATCTTGTAGGTTTTCGATTCTTTTCACATTGTAAATCTCAGTCTTAGTTAATCATTTGATTCTCTTGTTAAAAAATTGAAATAAAAGTAAGTAAAAATTGATGTTTTTTTTATGGCTTTGCAGAAATGGTATCAGCAGCGAGTGTTACACTTGAATCAATTCAAATATACCAGACTCATGAGCCGTTGGGTAGCCCGACCCTATACTTTCTGTGTAAAGGTGAAAACAAGACATATTTGCCTGATGTGAAGGAAAAGGACAAACCATACGAGTTCAAAGGTGAAGAACCTTGGCAGGTCTGTTGCTCTTCGTGTATGTAGAAAATAATAAAGGGAGAATATTTGTGTATTGAATTGTCTTCTGAATACAAAGATCTAACCCTCTTTATATAGGAAGAGGTGAGGGTAAAACAAACACGGAAACTTCTATTCCTACTAAACCAAGAATTAAGCAAACTAGGAATGTTTCGATTTCCTTCTTTTAGTATCTCATGCCAACAGTGTATATACAGTAATTCTGAGTCTTCTTTCATTTGACAGTAAAGGATACAGCAACTTACTGTTGTAGATCATGACTTGAGAAATGAGAGGATACGATGTAATATCTGGTACGGTATTGGTATGAGCTAAATACCATATACCACGATCACGTTTAGTGTGGATATGCTTATCCCAAACAATCTTGCCCCATTTGATGCTACTTCCTCAATACTTCTTCTTCTCCTCCTCCATATAAACCTTTCGAGCTGGCTCACATTCTTTATCCGAATATGATTTTCTTATACATTTCTTTGGTAGAATTATTTCATGATGTAGTGGTTTAATTATTACTTTTGGAAAAAAAAATATTAGTTTGTTTCCTGTATCGTTATTGTGAGGCACAACACAACTTGTAATTGTTTTAGTATATTAAGTGGAATGCAAGATTAATGTTTTGATCGAGATAATATCAGATTATTTATGTCAATTCTTAGTTTCCATTAATATTAATAAGAAAAATTGCTCTTTAACCACTATTTTTTGAACATGGATTACTTACATGCAAATTAAGAAACTAAAAAATGTATTACTGATATTGATGTTATAAAGTACGGAGTATAAGAAAAAGTAATAATAAGTGCGTGTTACAAAAATAATTTACTCCCTCCGTCCAAAAATGATCTTTCCATTCTACTTTTTTTCGTTAGGAAATGATCTTCCCATTCTACCTTTTTTCTCAAATCTTCCTAAAATGCCCCCTCTTCATTTCTTTCTTTCTTTTCTTCCTTTTTTTCCTTTCTTTTTTTGCTCCTTCACTATCCTCCTCATTTTTTCATTTTCTTTCTTCTCTCCTTTTTTCTCCTTCATTTCCGCCATATCATTTTCTTTCTTTCTCCTAAGGGTCCGTTTGGTACACAAAATTAATAGAATTGGAATTGAATAAGAATTGAAATTCTATGAAGTTGAATTGGATGGGATTAAATTCTCTAATTCCAATTCATTTTCTGCATTACAAGTTCTAAATCCACGTATTTGTGTGTTACCAAACAACAAAGTTGGAATTGAAGTCCCCAAGTCCAATTCCATGTGTTTAATTCTGTGTACCAAAAGTAGCCTAAATTTTCTTCCTTCTCCTCTGCTCGTCTCTTTCTCTTCCAGCTCCTCCTCCTCCTCTCCTCTTTCTCCCCCTTCGTCTTCAACCCCTCTCTCTCTCTCTCCTCCGTTCTTCTTCTTCTTCTTCTTCTTCTATCCTCAGCCTTCTTCTTTCTCTTTTAATTTGTCTTCCCTCAGATATACACCTTTCTTCTTTTCTTTCTCCCATTTCTTCCTCTTCTTCTAGATCTGTGCTAGATCTATGGGGCTGGCGGCGATGGTAGAGAAGACGATGGTGGTGGGAGCTAGATCAGGTAGATCCGTAGTAGATCTTTTTCTTCTTGTCTTGTTTCCCCTTATTTTTTCTCTTCTCTTATTGTGGTGAGGGCTGAAGGNGGCAGCAGTGGCTGGGGGTAGGATAGTGGTGGGGGCAAAACAAGGAAGATAGGAGGGTATTTTGGTCATTTTAATGCCATAGTCAACTGGGAACATCTTTCCAGTACGGAGGGAGTAGTATACCTATGATCTGAAACATAAATAGCATGACATAAGAAAAATAGAAAGTGACAAAATTGAAATTGATGAAGTATAAATTATTTTAATAAAATGAAATTGGAAAAATTACCCAAAATAATCCCAACTTTACCCGGTCTTTCAAAAATAATCCCACCTTTCACTGTGATGCATAATAATCCCAACTTTAATGAAATTTGCCAGTTTTGGGTCGCCGTTAAGTTTCTAACGGAGGGTTAACAGAAATGCCCGTTTTAGTCAACAAAATGAAAGTTGGGATTATTTTTGATGAATTTTTGTTTTTTAATTTTTTTTGAAATTTTCATTTAAATTTTTTAAATTACTTTCTACCTCCATCATCATTTCTTTTTCTTTTTTTAAAGATTAGTCTTAGTTTAAAAACATAAAAACAATAGATATAAAAAATGAAAAAATGAGAAATGTAACTAGAATGATACAAAAATAATAAAATAAATAAGGTAATCAATGGAAACTAACTTGAAATGGGAAAAAGTAAAATTAAAAAATACGGGTGGGTTTTAATATTTTAGGCATTATACAAAGTATTAACATATCACTTCTTATTTTTTAGAAAAAATTATCTACAATAATTCTAACTTTACCGGACGGCTTGTTCTTTTAAAAAATAAGTAGTACATTAAGACTCCGTATAGTGTGTAAAATGTTAAACCCACGACTCCATATATATTTATTTTATTTCTTACCAGTTTCTGTTTAATTTCTAATGATTACATTATTTTTTTTGAAAGGATTGATTACATTATTTATTTGATTAATTTTGTATGGTTTTAGTTATTTTTCTCATTTTCATTATTTTTTATATCTATTTTTTTCTAAAGTAAGAATAATCTTTAAAAAAGAAAAAGAAATGGAGGTTGAAAGTAATTCAAAAAATTTAAATAAAAATTTCAAAAAAAATTAAAAAACAAAAATTCATCAAAAATAATCTCAACTTTCATTTTGTTGCCTAAAACGGGCATTTCCGTTATCCCTCCGTTAGAAACTTAACGGCGACCCGAAACTGGCAAATTTTATTAAAATTGGGATTATTATGCATCACAGTGAAAGATGGGATTATTTTTGAAAGACCGGTTAAAGTTGGGATTATTTAGGGAAATTGATGCAGAAAAAATTCCTTAAGGAATTTCTCCTAGAATTTTGCTCTTATTTTTGCCAATTTTGATGCTCAGGATTGTGAGATTTTCCATAGTAAAGGAAGAGTGTGATATGTAATGTCAAACACTCCATATAATATCATAAAAGAGGTCCAGTCAATTGTCCTTCGCATGAGTGAATTGATGTCAATGAATTTATTAAATTGATATTACCCAAGCGAGGCACTACTTCAAAAGAAACATGAAGTTGTGGTTGTTTCACTTGTTTGATATATGCACCTTTGTTTGGAGGTAGGCTGTTAATGAAATACAGTGTATATAAGTTTTAATCCAGCGACATATTAAACCTGACCTACATTTCTCACTGCAGTGCATTATACGAGTAATATGTGAATTTGAAAATTGGTTTCACCAAGAATGATTGTTGTTCGTGAAGACCTTATGTTTGTTTCAGCCATAGTTGGGAGTAGGAGACATGTCTTTTGATATATCCTATCATTCTCATCATTTTTTGTTAAGCATTTATTTTCAACCATTAGAAGTGTTCTGCTGCTTGTGTCTAGCAGAGTTTTTAGTAGTGTAGCCCTTGTAATAGATCCAGTTTGGGAGAAACCTTTTCCGCAAATCACACCCAATTTTTTAAATAAAAGGAAGATGGAAGATATTATTAACACATTATCGGCATTCAGATGTTTTTAATGAATAAGGGTTAAGTGACATTAGGACAGGATCCATGAATTACTTACATTCATCATGATGTGTGGTCCTGTAGATGTGACTGTTTACACATGGACTTGATCCACCCAGATCAAATTGTATTTTTATTCTGGTGTTGGAATTGCATTCATGTTTCAGCCTTTGACACAACTCTTAGATAAGAACTGCAAGCGATGCGGATTCTACGAGGAAGATATGGGAGCAGATGACGTGTTTGACGAGTGGGAATTTTGCGCTTCTGCGTTTACAAGTGCTGATGGAAAATACACATATTCCAAGGAGAAAGAGTTCAATGCAACATTTTTGTGTCTAGAGTGTGTCCATCTTGTAGATGGTGAGTTCTTCTCCCCTCTTCTCTCTCTCTCTCTCTATCCCTCTCTCATATTTCTTCCTTTTTTTAGCTTGTATAGATGTTATAACACTTTATCATTCCTCGTCCTTACACCCATATGATTCTTCTCAGGCAATCCTCAATTCTTAAGAATATGTTTGATTTTACCTCAGAAATGCAGACGAAAACGAGTTTATGTCTCTGTTTAGATTTGTTAGGTGTAAATCTCAGTCTTAGTTTATGGTTTAATTATTATTCTGATTAAGCGAATGAAGAAACAGTTAAAAAATAAAAATTGTTGCTTTTAATGGCTTTGCAGAACCGATATCAGGAGCAGTGGTTACACTTGATTCAATTCAAATATACCAGACTCATGAGCTGCTTGGTAGCGACCCGGACCTTTACTTTCAGTGTGAAGGTGAAAACAAGACAAGTTTGCCTGATGTGAAGATAAAAGACAATTTGTATGAGTTCAATGGTAAAGAGTCTTGGCAGGTGTGTTATCCTTTGTACATATACAGTAGTTCTGAGTGTTCATTCTATTGACATTAGAAGGATGTGGTAGCTTACTGTTGTAGATCATGACTTGAAATGACCTTTTCACAGCCCATCATGTTTTTTATCTTATTTTGGCGAAGTTTGATGTTCAGGTTCCTAAGCTTTTCATTATAATGAAAGAGTGTGATCTATAATGTTAAATACTCCACTAAATAATACTGTGTATATAAGTTTTAATCCAGCTATATGTTAAACCCCATCTTCATTCTCTCTGCAGTGCATTATACGAGTAGTTTCAGAATTGATTTCACTAACAATGATTGTTGTTCACGAAGACCTTATGCTTGTTTTAGCCGTAGTTGCGAGTAGAAGACATGTCATTTGATCATAGTTATCATGGCGCAAAGTCGAGGCGCGGCGCTGGTGTACTGCTAGGACGCCTAGTCGACAATTAGGCGACACATAATATAGGAGAATTGCTATATATTAAAAACACTAAAATAAATATATCAAACTATATATTGTAGTTGGTAAAGTTTAAATTTTTCTAATACATCAAAGTTTAACTACCAAAGTTACTTTTAAGTACTTCCTTTAAAAAAAAGTTGAAAAAAAAGCGTTGCCGACTTAAGTTGGTAATAAAGTAATCATTTAAAATTTTAAAAATTAAGCACCAAGTATTAGTTAGGAAGATAAAATAGAAAAAAACATTAACTTGCAAATAAACTAATATATAAAGCATTAAAAAAGCAAAGGACTACAGCCAGGTGTATAGGACACTTAAAAAACTAAATTATTGGACTAAAAAAACAAAAGTGCTGGACTAGGCGAGCCAAAGGCGAGGCGAGCTCCCAAGGCTAGAGTAGAAGGGTGCCTGGACGCCTAGGCGTGCCTAGGTGACACATTGATAACTATGCATTTGATATATTATATCATTTTCATCATTTATTGTCGAGCATTTAATTTTTTCTTTGCTGTTTGTGTCTAGCAAAGTTGTTAGTAGTGTAACACTTTAAGACAGGTTCCATGAATTACTTGCATTCATCATATGATGTGTGGATGTGACTGTTTACACTTGGACTTGATCCATCCAGATCATAGTACCTCGTATATATTCATTGACTGAAGTTTCATGTAATGTGTGTGCCGTATGAATTATACGTAACGGAGTACATAGACAAGTCATCTGAGCAATAACAGTGTGGTATTGGAATTGCATTCATTTTTCAGCCTTTGACACAACTCTTAGATAAGAACTGCAAGCGGTGCGGAATCTATGAGGAAGATACGGGACCGGATGACGTATTTGATGAGTGGCAAGTTTGTGCTTCTGAGTTTACAAGTGGTGGTGGAAAATGCACACATTTCAAGGAGAATGAGTTCAAGGCAACATTTTCTTGTCCAAATTGTCCCTCTCTTGTAGGCAGTGATGCTGGTGAGTGCTTCTCCTCTCTTCTGTCTCTGTCTCTTTCTCTCATTCATTCTCTGATAATTCTTCCTTTTTAGCCTATAGTAATGTTTCAACAGATTATCCATACCTTGTCCTTACACCCATATGATCATTCTCTCCGGCAATCCTTAACACTATGTTTGGTTCAAGGATTTCGAAAGGGAAAAGAAAAGAAAAAATGAGATGGAAAATAGTTTTTATTGTTTATTTCGAGAGGAAAAGAAAAGAAAAATAGAAGGAAAACAAACGAGGAGACAAAATGTACTAAAAGAAGGGAAAACCAACTTCCTCTCATTTTGGCGAGGAAAATGAGAGGAAATCATTTTTTTTTTGTTTCCTTCCAAATTACTTGAGCCAAACACTGTAAATCTCAACGATATGTTTGCCTTTATCTCAGAATATGCAGACGAAAATGGATTTAGGTTTTTTTTTTCCTTAGATTTGTTAGGTACTCAGGTGTTTATATTATAGAAATAAAGAACAAAGTTGAATTTTAGTAAATATCTAAACGCAAATGTAGCATTTTCCGTGTTCCAAAACAGACCGTAACACTTCATCTCAATTTTTTGCAGCACCACCAGTTAACTCTTTTTCCCGAAACGATTCATCTCATTTTTTTGCAGCACCACCCGCCAACTCTCCTTCCCGAAACGAGAGAAGGGGGATTACCTGGATATTGACATTGCCGATTGCGATTTTGGTCTTGGTGTTTTCGGTTCTTGGATGGTAATGGCTTAGAAAAGTATTGCAGAAGAGCAAAATGCAACAGGATCAAGCACGGTTTCCATGTTTGCCTTTTTTCCCTTCTCGATTCACTTTGCGTGTTGCCCTTTTCTTGATCATATTTTGCAAATTTAGACCTAATTTTATAATTGAGGTACAATTATTTACTCTGTTTAATGTAAATTTTCTTTATACTCCCTCCGTCACAGTTTCTACGGCTTGTTTTGATTTACGATGTAACTGAAATTATTTTTTATTCAATTTATAAGACGCATGGGGTGAAATTAAAAAAAAAAATGAAACAATTATATTTACATATGTAGAGGCTATGTCAAAAGCTCTGTAAAATAATTTGTGAAACGATTATATTATTTTATCAAAAGACTACCGAAAATATGTAAAGAAAGTAAATAAAGTTTAACTTTATATGTAGTATATATGTAATTAAGTTTGTGAGACCCGAGTAATATAATTTTAAAATATTACTTCATTTGTTTCAAATTAAATTACTCATTTGCTATTCACATGATCAAATTTCATTTACCTATTATTCTAGTTTTGATAGTCATTTAATTAATTAATATAGTCACGTCATCACTAATTTGTAGATTTTGATGTATGTAGTTTTCAAATATGTGATTTTTATTTTTTAATTCTACACTATTTTTCATATAAAATGATTTGAAAATAACTTTAGTCAAACATCGTAAATTGAAAAAAAACAATTTAAATTGGGATGGAGAGAGTATATTTTTATTTTAAATATATGTACAGTGATTATTTATAATCAAAGTGATACACTATTTTCCTTAACAAAAGAAATATTTGCACTAAATAACGCTAAAACTTAAATCATTTCCCTAAATAACACTTAAATTGTTTTATTCTCTAAATAGTACTAAATAATGTCTATAATGTCCAGCAAAGACGAACATTTACTTGAATAATGATTAATGAATAATGACTAAAAGTGCTACATTGGAGAAAAAAACACATGTGATGCTATTTAGGAAAAAATCATTATATTTTAGTGCTATTTACGTAAATTCCCCTTCCCAAAATGAGAAGAATTTAGTTTTCTCTCTACTTGGTACATTTTACCCTCTCATTTTCTTTTTTTTCAACTTTTTCTTTCTTTTCATCTCTAACGAAACAAAAAAAACTCTTTTCCACTTCATTTTCTTTTATTTTACCTTTCAAATTTCTTGAATTAAACACAGTGTTATTGAATTTGGAAAGTTGACAACTAATCCCATACAAAAAGAAATTAGGACACGAAAAGAGTACTTTACACTATGTTTGGTTCAAAGAATTTGGAAAGAAAAGGGAAAAAATGGGTTTCTCTCATTTTCCTTACCAAAATGAGAAGAATTTGGTTTTGCCTCCACTTGAAACATTTTGCCTTCTCTTTTTTTTTCCTTTCACTTTTCCTTTCTTTTCCCCTCTAACTAAACAAGCAAAACTATTTCTCACTTCATTTTCTTTTCTTTTCCCTTTCAAATTCCTTCAACCAAACATAGTGTTAAGGTAGTTAGGTTACAAACCTGAGTTTCATATCATACAAAATATATAGCCCATATTTCTCTCACAATTCACAAACATTTGTGGTCCTTTTTGGAGTGTAAAGCATTTTTTTTGCAAGAAGGGTATATATGACCCTAATTCCGTATCCAATAAAAGCAGTCACAAAAACTATTTGTACCTAAGCCGATGAGCTCCATATTGCTTGATCAAAATGACCCAATTCTTCTGAACTCGTTCCATACACTGCCTTGATTGTGTCAATGCAGCAACTGCAAATAATACAAAGACTGTGTTTGGGAACAATGTTTTCAATTAACGTTAGCATTTTGTATCTTTTTAATGGTACAAATTAAATTTGAAAATATTAAAACTACATTTTATACGGAGTAGCATTTTTAAAAGGCTCAAGCTGTTGTCTTCATTCTTCACAAAACCAAGCACAATTAAACTCAAAGAGAAAAAGCTTATTCTCTTCAACTTATTCTTATTCTTATTTGAATCGGATCAGATGACAAAAAACTTTGAATATAATTACAGTCGGATCATATTAAAAATTTAATCGAATCAGATGAGAACGGATTAGATAAGTTGAAGAAAACAGGCACAATGTCATGTAAAATAATAATGATTATACAAAACCTGCAAGCTTCCCTGTTGAACTTTTTCTTGTCAATTCCGTACAGTGTCTCAAATACCTCCGGCTCTACCCGACAAAAATATGGCCGTTCTATGACAAAAAACGAACTCAACTGATTACCAAACAATGCGGAATATGATAAAATAAAACCACACAAGCTCACCACATCCCACTTGAGAGTAGGGTTACAGAATTGGGAAATGAACACAGTAAAGATAAAGCAAGAGAAATTACCAGCATATATTGAACACTTTCTTGTGCTCTTCTCAAAGTGTATGCACCAACCATCTTCACCCACCATGCTTTTATACAACTGATGAAATCATAAAATCCACTCATACATACATCATACATATATATATATATATATATATATATATATGGCCCAACCTAATTTTTTTCAAAAAAAGAATAGAACACTTGAGGGTTGCTTTTTGCGTTTGGAGATTGCAATATGAAATCTCAAGACTACAATCTAAACATTGCATTAATTCCAACTAAAATTAAAAAATTAGAGTTCAGACACTAGAAATCAATCAAGCTAGGGTAACCCAACCACAGAGACTGTTATTGTCTGTGTCGTGTTCATACAATAACAGTTTGTGTGGTCTATGTAAAACTTGAGGGTCATGATTGGGGTTATCCTAGCACGGTTCCTAGAAATTAGACTCTGGTGTCAAGAAACTAGAGTCCACAATTATGAATATAGATATTGAAGCCTGAAATCTGGATATTGTTTGAATTCTAACTGGAATTGTGAGAATTGAGTCAACAACCCAGTATAATCTAAACTTCCTTGGGGTCTAGGGGTCAAGATCTACACAATCTTCCTCAAATAAAAAGTTAACTGAGACTGTTTCCATTAAACCTAAGACTCTGTTTGATACACAGAATTGAAAATGAATTCAATGGAATTGAGTTCTCCAATTTCTATTCATACTTTGCACGATTAATTCCAAATCCACGTATTTTTGTACTACCAAACAGCAGAATTAGAATGGAAATCTCTCATTCCAATTTCATGAATTGTATTCTCTAAGACCAAACGGAGTTTAAATGCATTTAGGATTATGCTATGTGTACCCCAAGATTTGTACCCCAATTTGTACCCCGCAGTTTTGCACCAACACTTTGTGTTGGTGTAAAACTAATTTTTGTTAAATGCACCAACATTTGTGTCCGTGTGAATTTTTATTAACGCACCAACACTTGTGTCGGTGTAAACCATCGAAATGTTTGTGCAAACCTATGGTGTACAAATGAGGTATATTTTTTGGTGTAAGTGTAGCATGGTCCATGCATTTAAGGCCCAAAACTTGGTTAAAGTTTGATACACGTAATTCAAACTATGGAATTGGAATTGAGGACTTCAATTTCAATTCCGGTGTTTGGTAGCACAAAAATAAGGTGGATTTGGAATTGATATTGCAAAAAATGAATTGGAATTGGTAAATTTAATTCTATGGATTTGAATCCCATGAAATTTCAATTCCATCAATTCCATCAATTCCATATACCAAACGGGCCCTAAGAATCAAGAAGTTGATTTAGTTAAAATTGGAATAAGAACCAGGCGAGTAAAAAAGCGACCTCAATGTCTGAATAGTCGTCGAAGATTTCCTCGGGCGAAGGAAAGTCTTTTTGGGGTTTATGGAGTTTACAGCAGGCGCCGCAGTTCTCTATGCATTTCCACATTGGATCCTTCCTCCTGCTCCCGAAGCCTGGTGGATTCTTCTTCGCAATTGAGACGTCGGCGCCGGCAGCGGCGTTTGACTGTTCCGTCGGTTTCGCATTTCGCTTTCTCTTATCGCCGTGCTCGGAGTTTCGTCCCCGCCTGGCTGCCGAGCAAATCGCGGCGAATCGCGGCGGAACCACTGTTAATGACAAGAACGACATTCCAATGTTAATAAACTGCGGTGTGGTGTATCTTTAGAAAAATGCTAAAAACCCCACCATTGGTACCGACCATGACCCCCTACATAAACATGTGGTAGGGATGCAAGAAAATTAAAATTAGAAGGTGGGTGGAAAATGGGTATAGATAAATATGTGGTGGAGAAGTAGGTGAAGGCATGGTTGGTAGCAAGGGTGGGGTATGTAGCATGGTTCTACTTTTTAAATAGTGTCCTCAACATTAATCATTTATATTTGAATGCATTTTTATTCGCAATTTATATTATACAGCCGGCAATTAATTGGGGCGAAAGAAAGAACTGCGGCAGGAACGGCCGAATCGATGAGGCTGGTTGGATTCCCGATCGGCGATTTGACGATAAAGGTCCAATCGGCGATTAGACGATGAAGGTTCGATGGAGGTTGATTGGAAGTCCGATCGGAGATTGGACGATAAAGGTCTGATCCGCGATCTGAACGCTGCTTGGATATGTAAGTTCTGGTCGATTCCACTTCTAGTTGCTCACGATGGTCTTCCGCTTCCTAGAGATCTTTTCTTCTGCTTAGCAAATTTCAACCTATGAATGAGCATATGAATGGTAAGTTGTTTAAGAATGAGTACTAGGTTATATGTGAATAAGTACTACAAGATTTTAGAATGAATATTACATTATTCATAAATGAATATTGAACAAATTTGTGAAAACGAGTACGACGTTATTTCTGAATGACTACTGCGTTATTTCAGAATGAGTACCACGTTTTTTCAAATGAACCATTATGCTTGTGTGAGAATGTGTACTACTTTATTTCGAAATGAGTATTATATGGATGTACCTATCTCTAGGTACATCCAAATGTACCATATACACTCACATTTTTATTGAATATTTTATAAAATAAAATAATTGTATTCTTTTATAAATTTTTTATATCATTTTGAATGCTTTAATTTGCATATTTTATTTTGAGAAGGGTATATTTTGTATTTTTAATGCCAATTTATAAATAAAATTCTTTATTATACTTCCTCAGTCTATAAGTTTCTTTCTCCTTTTTCTTTTTGAGCTGTTCAAAAATTTCTTTCTCGTTTCTTATTTTGGCAAACAACTTTTAATGAATGTGTCATTATATCCATACTTTTTTCTCTACAATATTTACTTTATTTCATCACATCAAAACAATATAGGAAAGATTTTATACTTCTTAACTTTTCTTGATCTCCGTGTCAAGTCAAATCGAGAAAGAAACTTTTGGAGGGGTGGATTATATAAAAAAGAGACTCTAAACTCTAAAAACATGACACATGACATAGTTTATGAAGAAAATCTCTATAAATAGGAGTAAATCATTAAGCATATACCCAAAATAGGAGTTTATAACTTATATACCCAAAATAAGAGCAATTAATTACGCTCGACATTCCTTATCCAATCCTTAGATCTGCTCTCTTCTCTCGTTCACTTCCGATCCCTTCTCTGCCATTCTTCCTTCGACTCCCACCGTCATCACTGCCCCTTATCGAGATCACTGCCACCCACCTCCTTTGCCTCCGCCCTATCCTTTTAAGTCCTCAACAAAGAGATCCTTGGTGATGCTTTTGTCTGGCTTCTTATGTTCATTAAATGGGTATGCATATAAAACTTTGATTTCATCAATTTATGATATAATTGGGCATCGCTCTACCATATTTTTATTATCTCTTCAAAGAAATCTATTTTGGATCGATATTCATTGAAGAGAGCATAACAGGATGACTATGAATTATGAATGATACTGTGACATATTTGTTGTTAATCAGCGTTATATTTGGCATTTTATTTTTCTCTTTGACATAATACAATGACATATTTGTACTTGTTAGAGGCTATGTTTGGCATTATAGATTGTAATCTTTGGCATTGTATTATTATTGCATTGTATAAAAAGTATTTTTCCTTGATAGTGATTGTAAGACAATAATACTACGACGACGATGGCAGACCCCGGTGGTGTTGGCGGCGAAAGAGGCGAGCTTGGCGATGTGAGAAATCATCGGCAACATTTAATTGCATGGTGCAGGGTACAACAGTAGGTCGTGGGCAAATGCGAGTGGTGTCAATAGCAACGGAGGCGTGCTTGGTGACGTGAGAAATCACTGACGACAATAGATTGCACGGCGGTGGCGGGCGGGCAGCGGAAGTTCATGGTGGTAATGACGGTGGGTCGGTGGCGATTGTGGCCATTGCATATTTTTATGCTGGATTGTTGGTTGATTGCACGGTGCAACGAAGGATGCAAGCTTGTTGCTATATTTGGCAGTTTTTTTCTCTTTGACATTATTCTCGTGAAAATAATGCTAAAAACTGAGAAAGAGATCAGCGGGGGAGGGAGTGCATGAAAAGGTTAATTGGATTAATTAAGTTAACTCCTATTTAGGGGAGTTCAGTGGGGGATCCAAGAAGTTAGGTAGTAGGGGTCACCTCACCCTAAAACTTTGATACATACATTTTGAATTGAAAAGATAATGAATTTGATCTCAAAAAATTACTCTCCATATTTCAAAACTATCGTCTCAGTATGAAAAGTGGGTGAAATCTCATCTCTTTTAAAACTATTTTGTTTACAAATTGATACAAAAATAAAAAGTATAAAATACATATTAAATATTTCTTCAAATTAAAACAAACAAAATGTGAGAATTATGTTTTATTTTATCAAATTGTCAACGAAAGATTCAATTAAACAAAAGTTATCTAGAGGTCTAACTGTAATTATAATTATGGGATGGATGTAGTATTTAAATAGTAAATAAAAAAGTTTAAAAAACAACACATTAAATTTATGGACTACACAGTCTGTATTATAACTTAGTTTGATTGTTACTCGGTATATTTTATGTCTCACACTTTCACTTTAGATTTTATTTTTATCACTTTTAAATATTTCATTTAAAAATCTATTCCTTTAATATACGAATTGGTGTCTCCATTGTAACTTTAATTTAGAGTGTCTAATATTTTTAGTTGGGGTCCTTAATTATATAACTCTTAAAAAATTAAGGGGGTATATTCAACTTAGATTTTAAAAGATTATGTTAGATTTTTTATAATCCATGGATTATTTAAGATTTATGGATTGTCTTAATTCTATGTAGACTTCAATATATTTCAATCTATTTTATTGTAAAGATTTATCAAGATTCGAATATATTGTTCTCAGCCCAAATTGGTTAAAAAAACAAAAAAAAACAAAAAAGGAGACGGAAGGCTTTGGATCCAACGTTGCCGTTGCCGAGCCGGCCCCTAAGCCGCCTCCCGCCGCATATGATGGAGAGGAGTAGATGATCTTTGAATAAGAGAGGGAGAGAGAGGGCTAGGGGATGGACCGAAGGAAAAGGGGAAAAGGGAAGAGGAAACCGTGGGAGAGGGAATCATAAAACAGCCTAATTGACACCAAAAACACGGCGGAATCGAGGTCGGAGACTAGAACAAAGTTGGAGAAAGGGAGGGAGGGTGGGGAAGAGATTGGAAGGTCTGATGCGTTGGAGATAATGAACAGTGCGGAAGAACTGAAGGCTTCCTGCGGAAGAAAGAGTAGCAAAATCCAAGGGCTTTTGTTAGGATTTGGAATTGGACTTGTATTTATACTTGAGGCATGAAAATCCATCAAATTCCACATTATTAAAAATCCTAAAAAATCTATGAATTTTTGAATACCATCATATTTAGAAGAATTATTTCAAAATCTGATTTGAATACATCTATATTTTAAATGATTTTTTAAAATCTAAATTGAATACCCACATATTTCTGTAATTCAAAAAAATCTATCAGAATCTTGATTGAATACACCCCCTAAAATTTTAACTTAAAATCAAAAAGTAGTAGGGGGCAATGGCCCCCAACTACATATGAATGGATCCGCCCCTAGGGGAATTTAAATTTCAACTCTTATTTTGGAGAGTTGGTATATGTTTTACTATTACTTTGATCCTTTTCCCTAGTTTATGTGGCACCTACATAAAAAATTTAAAAAATATTTTTTTAAGAGAATGGAATATTTACGTGTCATTGCTCCTTTTGCATTAGGGAAATAAAAAAGAATAGAATATTTACTTTCTTTTTAAATTCATCCAACTTCAATTATTTTCTTCCTTTCCTTTCACTCATTTTTCCAAAAATAATATTTACCTTTTCAAAAACTAGTTAATAAAAATAAAAAATTACGCATGAGTTTTAGATGAATGAATATTCTTTTACAAAAGTAATATAGCCATGTAAAATTTATATACTCAATTATGCTACATCAAAGATCTAAAAATGTATATTATATTTAATCAAATTTAAAATGAAAAAATGTATAGAATTTAAATTTGATACTGATGTATCTATATTTTAAAATGGAAAATATGAAATTAAAGGTTTGGTAATAACTCTTTGAGTAAATGAGAAAAAAATCTTCCTTTTTATGAAAATATACTTTCCAAAATCTATATTTATGTCTTTTCATTTATAACAAATATTTAGAATAAATAGAATACAATTGATAAAAAATGTATCACCATGACATAGTATGTTTACATTAACATTCTTTACCATTTCAACAATAAATTTAATTATGGAATAGAAAACTCTGCTTATATTATAATATATTTTTCTAATTTTATATTTTTCACTTCATTTATAATAAAACTATGAAAGAATAAATATGTTTTCCTTCCTTTAAAAAAATACTTTCTTAACCTCTAAACAATTCATATTTGTTTATGACATGATTAAATGAAGTTAGTTTTTATTTTGTTTATATAAATAATAATTTCAAATAAAAAAATTAAAAATATATTTTAATCTCTACGTTAAAATATTACAAATGACTAGACTATTTTTTGAATGATCAATTATTGAAATCATATAAGTTTAAAAATGAAAGATTTTGTATTCAAGGAGAAAGCAAAAAATTGGAAAAAAATCAAATGTTTTTAATTTTTTTAGACTCATATAATGTTTTTATATTAAATTTTTTGAATTAGTGTGGTGTGGGGGGGTGGGATGATGGGATTTTTAATGATTTTTTAAATTAATTATTTTGAATCATAGGATTCCTAATTCAAGATTTTATTTTTTGAATTATGTGGGGAGAGAAGGATCATACGAACTATTTTTTTAATCTATGCGAGAGGCAATAATCATATTACTTCATAACATGGGAGAGATGAATAATATTTATATCTCTAATCAAAATTAATTCGGCGATACGGGATAGAAGAATCATCTTCTTGAATTGATCATTAGATCAGTAATCCAATTTTTTTTAATTAGTGCAAAGGAGAATAATCATATGATCACTATTATATATTTTTTTGAATTAATTCAGGGAAAGAAAAATCATTTTTTAAAATCAATACGAGGGATGAGAACTATATTAATGTGGGGAGACTAATCAATTTTTTTATTTAATCAAAACTAATGCAGGGGAGGGTGGGGGAATCACATTTTTTGCCTACCAATGGCAATTATATAAAAGTTGAATTTATGAATGTGAACATATGTTTGAAAATCTTAAGCCACAAATTAAAGTAATTTTAATTCAAAAAAGTTGTACTCATTATGTTATTGAAGAACATCAATAAACCATCTGAATTATGTAGTAGTATAAGGTTAATCATTGAAGAGTTGTGAAAAAACATTTTTGGCACAATAGTAGTATTAGAAAGAAAAGTCATAGAGAAGGTTTACATGCACACTTTAAATGAATTATGCATGATTTCATAAAAGGTTGTTTTTGAAAAGAATACAATTTCTAATAGTTTATGTTTTGTTATGATTATAAAAAAAAGTTAGGGCCAAACGTTCTCATTTGTAGGATTATTTTTTACTAAATTGGTATTAACTTATGACTAATTTTATTTGTTGTTTGACGAGTGAGAGTAAGTAGGGTTGAAAATATTAGTTTTACATTTATTTTTCATATATGATTCATATTTCAAACTTTGTTCACTTTGTTTTCAATTTTTGTTGTTCATTTGATAAAAATAATATAGGTATGATACCTCCAATTTTGTAAATCTTTTGATCTTATTTTTAAATATGTATTTTTATTTTTTTAATTTCACACAAATTATCATATAAAATGAATTAAAAATAATTTTGATCAAACATTATAAAAGAAAAAAATATGAGGATGGAGGGAGTATTTATTACATACTTTCATACACTATCAAATAATTCAGTGAAATTAATTAAAATTTGGTACTTTAAATTATTAAAAACATTTTTTAAAACAAATACTCAATAATAATTTTAGAAAATAACATAATTTATAGATCTTTTGATATAGTATGATTGAATATATAATTGACATCACTATATTGTTTTACTAAAAAATATTCAAACGCCAAAACTTATGTATAATTTTTAAGATTAGTTGAAATCCGGGTAAAATATTGTAAATGATAAATTTTAATTAATAAATTTTTGAAAAGGTAATTATCATTTTAGAAAAATAAATTAAAGGAAAGGGAAAAAATAATTTAAAATAGAAGAATTAAAACGAAGAAGTAAATATTCAATTCTTTTGAAATTTGGATTTTTGTCTTTAATATTTTTGAATAGATAAAGGATAAAATACTCATTGGATGTATATAAAAGTAGGTACATCCCGATATATTGTATAATTCACCATGCACATATTATTACAGAATAGAGTAATAAATTAGAATTGTTAGCTAAACTTATTTATTACACTGCATTTTACTTTAATTGTTTTTTTCTTTTTGTAACGTGAAATTAACATCCCCGGCAAGGTCATCAGTTATGTTAGTAGAAGTAGTTAAACGCTCAAAATACATTTATGCTTGTAAANCCCCCCCCCCTCCAATTTTATGTTGATATAATAACAGAGAAAACAGTCTTTCTCTTAAAGAAGATTTCATTATCAGCCATTAACAAGTATTATTATTATTATTATTACTATTACTATTATTATTATTATTATTATTAAAAAGCTTATTGGAGCAACACACATTGTGAACTGTGGTGATTAAATAAGTTGAAAAGAAAAACAGCTAATGCATATTTTTTAAGGGCTTACATTTATGGTCTTTGGTCACTATGAATTGATGACTTTTGCAGAATTGATTGAGCTAATATGTTAATGCTTATTTTATTTTCCTCTATTATTTTAACAGGAGAAATACCCTTTGATGGACAGTGCAAAGGGTAATCACCAGAGGAGAGGGAGTTTGGGTCTTCCATGGGTGTCCCAAACACAATGGTCAGGCGAAAAACCTTCCAGAGATTCCCGTTTTAATGACGATGAATCCGTGAATGTAAAGGTTGTGCTACGTTGCAGGTAATAATGACTAAATTGCCCATTTTTGGAGTATATATGTGTGTGTGTGTGTATTTATTAGCAAAGAGCAAATGATTTTGTTGCAAATTTCATGATATGATAAATGATTTTTGTCAAGACCACCAAATGGGGATGAAGTGAAGGCAAAAGAACCCCTAGTGATATCATGTGATGAGCAAAAACATGAGGTGTCTGCAATCCTAAACACAGCTACTAAACAGACAAATAGAACTTTTATTTTTGACAAGGTAAGAAGATTTTTGTCTCATTTTCTCATCTATGAAAGGGGAAATACTAATATCTTTCTCTACTTTGATTTGAGGTCTTTGGTCCCTCAACTCAACAGAAAGACTTGTACAATCAAGCTGTGGCGCCTCTTGTCGACGATGCTCTTGAAGGGTATAGCTGCACGGTCTTCGCATACGGCCAAACAGGAACTGGAAAAACGTATACAATGGAAGGGGAAGTAGGGATGGAAAAGGTTTGATCTTCTCGGTTTGGTTTGATATGGTTTTTCCCCCCTTGTTTGGCCGGGATGGAATGGTTTGTTTCATTTTTTTCCCATGGTGATAGAATGGAGAGCTCAAGAAGAATGCAGGGGTGATTCCGAGAGCAGTAGAGCAGATTTTCAAGAAGCTGAAGTCTGAAAAGGCAGAGTATACAATGAAGGTGACATTCATAGAGCTTTACAACGAAGAAATAACCGATCTTCTCTCCTCCCCAGAAGAAGAGGAGCCAAAGACAGCTGTGAAACTGATGGAAGATGGAAAGAGTGCTGTCTTCATAAGAGGCTTGCAAGAGGAGACAGTGTACAGTGAAGATGAAATTTACAGAATTCTCGAGGATGGCTCTGCAAAGAAGCATACTGCAGAGACCCTTCTCAACAAACAAAGCAACCGGTCGCATTCCATATTCTCCATCGCAGTGCAAATCATGGGAAATGCATCTGATGGGAGGGAAGTGATCAAATGTGGGAAGCTGAACCTTGTGGATCTCGCTGGATCTGAGAACATCTTGCGCTCCGGTGCCACAGAGGTACTGCATTGTTTTTGTTTATTCATAGGTAAAAGCTATATATAGTCACACCAAGTATAACACCAAATATGACACTAATGTTTCATAGACAATTTCGCAAAGAGAGTTATTGTCTTGTGTATCTGTGAGAGACAGTGGTGTAGTGTCATCCTTGGTGTCACTATAGCACGGCCCTTATTCATATTTTATTCCTAAGGCAAGGATTTTGTGTTATACAGGGAAGAGCAAGGGAAGCCGGTGAGATCAACAAGAGCTTACTTACATTAGGCAGAGTCATCAATGCATTGGCTGATCACTCCGGGCATGTTCCCTACAGGTAAATATATTGTGCTAAAGTTGAGGAACTTATGGAGTATGGGAAAATGTTTACTTGGAGATAAATAAATAAATAAATTATGTGGGGATTATAGGGACAGTAAATTGACAAGATTATTGAGAGACTCATTGGGAGGAAAGACAAAAACCTGCATAATAGCCACAGTTTCTCCATCTCTTCAATGCTTGGATGAGACTCTCAGTACTCTTGACTATGCATTCCGCGCTAAGAACATTAAGAACAGACCAGAGGTTGGTAAAGCAACATATTGAATGAGAATTGTATTCTTTGTTTCTACAGTTCTTCCAATCTACCTGTCTTATAGCCCTTGAAGAGATCAATGTGTTACCATTTTCAGGTTAACCAAAAGAATGGAATTTGCATACCACAAGAACAATACCAGCCTAATGATGCTGCACAAAAGGTATTAATTCCATAGTTTGTAAGGCAGCAAGGCGAGGCGAGGCGCTAATGTACCTTCATATCGCCTAGGCGGCGACTAGGCAGCATACATACCTATATATATATATATATATATATATATATATATACATATATATATATATATATACATGTCATACATTTTAAGGAAGCTTGATCGAGACAGAGAAAACCGAGAGAGAGAGAGAGAGAGAGAAGATAAGTTTAAGTCTATTAGGATACACTTAAAGAAAATGCGCTACACTAAAAAATGGGTTTTATCAAAAATTTAAAGGGGCCCAAGGCATCAAGGCGAGGTAAGGCGAGGAAAGGCGACGCCTATGCGAGCGCCTGATCGCCTTAAGGTTTTCAAGGCGAGGCGACCAGACAAGGCGTCCCAGTGATAGCGCCTTATCGCCTAGGCGACACCTTACAAACTATGATTAATTCCAGTTATTGATAATGATGATGCTAATAAACTGGGGCAGTCTACAACAACAACAACAACCCAGTTAAATCCCACAAGAGTAGGGTCTGGGGAGGGTGTGTGTACGCAGACCTTGCCCCTACTTGAAAGTAGAGAGGCTGTTTCCAAAGAGACCCCCGGCTCAACGTCGAAAGTTGCATTGCTTGACTAACTGCTACTTCATTAATTAAAGAAGCGCAGACAGCTTAGAGATCCATTTTGATTTATTCCATCACACCCCAAAGCCAAAAAATGGTGAAATTTTGGCTCCATCGGAGATGATGGAAATTAAACTGGGGGTAGTCTAAGACTCCAATTAGGCTAGGGGCTAGGGCAAGCCGCTTGAGCCATATAATAATGAGGAAGGCAATGCTCTAGGCATGCTGTAATCAGCTAGTCTTGTCAATAGGTTGACAGGATGGACCGGTCTGAGGACCACCTTAGTGGGGTCAGTCGGTCCCAGCCAAGAGCTAATTGTCTTATTCTTGAATGCTGGACTATATGACCCGTGCCCATTGCCCAGTAAGGTGGTTCGGTTCATCTGATATTAGGGTATATCCAATCAAATTGCAAAAACAAAAAATCACTATAGCCTTCTCCCGTAGGAACACAACTGTTAGATGATACTCCATCCTATAATAAGAGCTTTGGCAACAAAAAAACATTAAATACGAGGAAAACTAGCTGCTGTTGTACAAACAAGATTTTTTTGGGACACAAAACGTTTCAAACAGGACTTCTTTTGGAGCAGAGGGAACTGCTTAAGTAAATATTAGTATAGCTGCTTTAAAGCCAAAAACATTGCCCAAAATGCAAGTAAACATGTTGGACGGAGATTCCTAGATCTTCTCGACGTCTTTTATTTCACCTGTTTCAACTTGAAAATCACTTTCAAAGTGAGCATAATAGGTAAAGTTGTATTATTAGCTAATTAAAAAGATATACGGCTTCAAGAGCTGACTGAAGATATGACTTTAGGAGACTTTTGGGTCAAAGGTTAAGGTGACAGGGTAGGCTTAGGGTTGTACCGTTGTAGATTGCCATGTGTGGTAGTGCTTGCTTGTTTTGTACTCGGATCATTGTTTTTCTTTTCTTTGAGTTCTTTTTCTTATGAGCCGAGGGTGTCTTGGAAACTGTCTTTCTACTTTCCAAGTAGAAGTAAGGTTCGCGTATAATCACCCTCCCAAGCCCGACTCAACAAGCGGAGTTCTAATTCTACTAGGTTTGTTGTTGGCTGAAAACCTGAGGCTCATGGAAATTGATTTTGAGCTGAAAAACATGGTATCACCCATTTATATAACTTTCTTTAGGACTCTGATCATATCCGGGCTAATAGATGACATTTTGAAACAGAGAATTGCAGAACTTGAAGGCTTATACAGCAACCAGCAAAAGTTAACAGCAGATACAGGCGAAAAACTTGCGAAGGCCAAGGTAAAAATAGATAAATTGAGCAGGGTTACTTCCCAGTTGACTTAAATCTCCCCCCAAACCTTGTTTTTCGTCCAATGGCAGAAAGATCTCAACAAAACTGAACAATCCTTGTCTGAAGTAGAAGCTGAATACAGTCAAGCAAAAGAAAACATTAAACAGAAGCAATATTTAATATATTATCTCATCACATCTGGTATGGATACTAGTTTGTTTGTAAATTTACAGTAATAGTTTACATTTAAAATCTTTGAACTTGATTCTCGACTTTTTCTTTTTATAGAGAAGGCACTTACTGAGAAAGCAATTGAGCTTCGAGCTGAGCTAGAAAAAGCAGAATCAGAGGTTTCAAGATTATGTGGAAAAATAGGTACACCTTGTTCCCGAGCTTGAAATTTGGGATTCTCACCACTTATATATTAACAGTTTTTTATTAGTTTCTTTTGTAAATGTTATCAACAGAAAATAATAATCACAGAGAGGGAAATAATCAACTTGTTCTCCAGAACTTCCAGAATAAATTGGCAAAAGAGCTTGAACTTTTAAATGCAAATATAGCAGCTTCTGTATCACAACAAGCACAGCAACTCAAAGCTGTACAAGAAACACAAAAATTGTTTTTATCTGCAAAGTCCAAGGTTAAACAAAGATTTCAATCATGTGTTATTAAATTTCAAATCAATATTGAAGCTCATGATTCTGTACCTGACCAAGGATAGGCAACTGGGGATCTTCAGAATCTGCTCCAGAAGCTAAAAGATAAGTATGTATCTGATGTCCAAAATTTGGCTGACACCGCAGAAGAACAAACTGAAATTTTTCATGTCGCCATTGGAAAATTAAATTCAGAAGTACCAAAATGTTCGTCTTCGATTATGGATGTGAGTTTTGGGTCTGTTTTAAGTGAGACTTGCCATGTTTTCCCGCCAAACTGCTGCTTCAACCATTCATATTTAATGCAGCTTGTTATGAAGATTTCCTCAGACATTGGTTCAATACTTAATGGTCTAGAGAACAACCTTACGAGTCTTGAATTAAAGATGAAAACATTTCTACAACAGGAGCAACAGGTACAACAGTCATGGTGAAAGAAAATCATTAAAATCTTGATTTTGCACCATTGCTTCTCAAAGTGGAACTCACCTTCTTTTTCCCCTTATTATGTGTACTAGAACCAATCACAAACATACCAAGCAACACAAGTAATTTCTGATGTTCTCTTGAGCTTCTTCAAGAATCTAACGACATCTGTGTCGAAATTGGTACATATGGAGGAAGAACTACAAAGAAAGTATAGCCAGCAAATCTGTTCCTTCGAAAAGAAATATGAGGTATGGAACTACGGGTACCTACCTATTTAAAAAAACTTGTCCTCTATCTTGATATGCATTTTAGTTTCTTTTGTCTTTTGAATCCCTGATAGGAACTGGCTGCAAATGAAGGAAGGGAAATATTAGAAAAAGTTGCATCTCTCCTAGCAAGCTCCCATGCTCAGAGGAAACAGCTCGTGTGTACTCCATTTTCATATGTGTTTTCATATATGTTATTGTTGAGTTCAACTTCCACATCGGCTTTGTAAGCTAGAATTGTGGTGTTTATAATAGCTTGGGTATGCCAACCCTTTGAGTTAATTCTTGGGGTTGAATTTTGCCCAAGTCTTGGGAAATTCTGGGATTTTTCCTTAAGGGTCCATTTGGATCCCAGAGCATACTAAGGGAAAATAATACTTTGGGTATGAAGATAAAAGAAATTAGAAGGAAAGAAAATGTGGGGGTAAAGACATTCATTTTACAGGGTAAAACCAAACATATAGAAATAACTTAAACATCAGTTAATGTGAGACGAAAGGATTGTATTGTTAACTGCAATCTCATTTCTATTACTTGTTTGAAACTCTGAATAGGTCCAAGCAGAGTTTGAGTTTCTTCAAAGGTGTGCTAATAGTAGAGCCAGACATCTAAACAAAGAGTTTTCAAACATTATAGACTGCACTTGTTCTACCCAAGAAGAATGGACAAGTTTCATAGAGGGAACAAAGGTTCATCATACAGAGGACAGGGCTATGTTAGAAACCTGGAAAGGTTGCATAGAAGAAAGCCTCAGAGGATGGTAAATCTTTAGCTTGATGATCTTAAGTTTCAAATACAAATCTTGTTGAAACTATGAAAGAATTTAGCCATTTTTTGGTAAACATGCAGTGTGAAAATCTCCAATGCAGTTCCAGAACAATGGAGAAATGCTCAAGAATCGCTTATTAGCCAACAGGCTGCAAATACCAACTCCATAGACTCCATTATTAAGTAAGTATTTATTCCACAAGGAATAGCACTTCAATAAACAAAACAAAAACAAAACAAAAAATCTATTAGAACTAATTTATTCATCCTTGTTTGTTTACTTCAGGAGTGGAATTGAGAGACATGAGAAGGTCAATGCTCAACTTTCTGCTCATGTTTCTTCCATACTTGCAGAAACTGAACTTGCTATCAAGAATGTTCTTTCTTCCTCGGAATGTATGTGCCAAATTTTTAGGTTTTTTTTAGGGCATAACGATTTTATGACGTCTTCTGATAAAAACACTATAATGCAGATTTACTGGAATTGGATATTGGTGAGAGCCAGAAGATCAAAACATGTATTGATCCATGTCTTGAAGGCATGAAAGAAATGGAAATGACTCATTCAAAGAAAATAACTGGGATTGCATTAAAGGCAGAAAAGGTTTTGACAGATGATTACATGGTAAAAACATTAACAAACTCATCGATTTGAGTTGTGACATTTACTCTGTGTATTTTACTAACCACTCTGAAATTCATATAGAATGAGTGGTTTACATAGGATTAACATTCATGTTGTGAATAAGATTCGAATGTAGTAGAAAGTTACATGTCTTTTACCATAGTAAAACTTCACACTGACTGATCTAGGATGCATGTCATTGATTTGGGATGAATACAGTTTCTAGTGTCATTTGTTGTTGTTTACGGAGTATGTTTTATCATGTTACCCTAATTGACAAAAATGATTTCCATCTGTTCATGTCTTCCATTAATGACTAGGTGGATGCACATTCAGATTCAACTCCAAGGAGGATAAAATTCAACTTGCCAAGCAAAGAAGTCATAGAAAACCTGAGAACTCCCTCTTTTGAAGAGTTACTTCAGTCATTCGATGATGGTGGAAAACGGGATTAGAGACAAAGCTATTGAGAATGTAATTGTGAACCCACAATCACATGGAATAGCACACATAAATCTTGAATATTCTATAATTAATTTCATGACAATATCCCAACAATCTTCCTTATATAAGCCCTCTGGCCATTGGCAAACATTTGTACATTTACTAAAATCTGCATTATAAAAGTAATTGTATGAAAAAATTTATATAATCCAAGTTATTAGGAAATTTTAACAAAAACTTTGATCTGGTGCAAAGTCTATTCACAAACTATTCCCACCAAGGCACCAAGGATCACAACAATTGCCTAGACACCATCACTATGTTCACAAATGTCTACAATCACTGGCAAAGTGGCAATACATTCAACTCTACTCAAGAGCAACCCACTTACAGAGGTATGGCATTGACCCAAGTAAATCAGATGCCCCAATAGGTTTACATAAAAAATGCACAAACATTTAGCTGGAAAGAGATTTCACAAAAAAAAACAAACAAACAACCCAACAACATCCACATTTTTTCTATTGGGATATATTGTTGCAGAAGAGTAAGAAAAAAAGAGCTTAGACGAGCATGAAGTTTCACTAAATTCTACATCTGTACGAAAATATATGTAGTACTAAGAGTTTCCCAAGATAATGATCATACTCTGCAATTAATACACCAACCAAGAATTGCTAGTCTGCTCCATTTCTCTGATCCTTGCCTCCACTTCTCCAACAATCATTTCTGGCTTGAACCTCAGCTTTGGCAGTCTGCTGGAGAGGTTTCTGTGTTGTTTTCGTGATCGTTCTTGGCTGAGTAGTTAATGGAATATTCATCATATCCAAATGTTTCCTATTTATGATATTCATTGCCAGCATCTTTAATGGAATATTTATATCTAAGGGAAGAAGAATTTGTTTTAATTCATTCCATTCAAGATCTTCAGAGTCTCCATCTTCATAGACAACTTTATACCAATGCATTTTGTTATCGTATTTGGCAACTTTTCCTGCATAAAACTGGTTCCCAAACAACTTTCGAACTTCTCTTCCCTCAAGCCATTGACCAAAACCTTCATTCCTACATAACTCAGTATCAGTATCAATAATTGCGGAGCAGAGACCAAGATTTTCTCCATTTGGAGGAACAGGAGGCAATCCATTAACAACAATAGCAGGCTCTCCAGGTATCTCATAGACCATTTTTTTACTAGTAAAATCCATTTTCGCCTGGCCTCATTGAACCCCTGGATAAACAGACATGAAAAAACATACAAATTTAGAACATTGGCATATACTACTCCGTACTTAGTACGCATACTATCCGAAATGGTAGTATTCGAATACTATCCCAACAGTTGTGTTGTTTCATACTATCAGACATGTTGGTTTTGCTCTATAAATTTGAGAACCCCTATTGGTATCATACTAGTATTTTTCCACTTTTAACTTTTTCGGTCAAAATTAGTAAACTTTGATCTAGAATTCAAAACAGGTAATATTAAATATTGATACAAAAATAGCATTATTAGATTTATTATTTAATATATTTTCAAAATATCATTTAATTTAGTTAATATAAAATATACTTCTGAAGTTCATATTTAATTATTTGTCAAAAGTTGAAAATGGTTCACTGAAAACAGGACCAATACTCAGAGACATAGAACAACTCATATTCCATCTAGAAAACTTACCGATTCTTATCAGTATTTTGCCATCTAAATAACCTTAATCTGTTTACCCAATTCGTAAAGCCAGTTGTATTTCACAATACTCTCTTTACGTATTCAAAGATGCACGGCATAAAATTACTACAAATTACTCTGTGAAAAAACCAAACCTGTGGAGAAAGAGAGCATCGGAGAGGGAGACGGTCGGCCCCGTGGTGGACGCTCCAGAAGTAATAGGATTTTGGTTTCTCTTCTTTTTTTGGTTTCTCTACGGAGAAATATTTTTCTGGAGAACGTGTGCTTAAATTCACTTCTTCTGTATAAATTTATCCCATTTTTGTATCATTTAATTTTAGAGTTTGTTGCATCATTTAATTTTTGACAATTATTGTGAATAATTTTTGAGAAGAGAATGATATCATTACGAGGAGATAAATCAAGTTGATTTTCCTCGTAAATCAATTTTTGATTTTCTCAAAAAATTGATTTTCCTTTGCTCGGTTTAATTAAAAAAATGTGATCATATAATTATATCCTCGTAAAAAATTGATTAGCAAAATCATTTTTTTTACAATTAAGGGGAATCATATCATTACCCATGACAAAATTTGATTGGCAAAAAATTGATTTTTACAATAAAATCATTTTTTTTATAATTATCTCCTCGTAAAAAATTGATTGGCAAAAGAGAATCATATCATTACAATCATCATTGATTGGCAAAATCAATTTTTTTTATCTCCTCCTAGAGTTTGTTGTATCATTATATGAATAATTGTGTGCGTCTGTGTTGACTTCGTGTACAAATGGGGTATCCCTAGGTTAATTTTTATTTTAGAAGAAACTACAGTCTAGTTATCTCTTGCTTTATAAATATTTTAATTTAGTTTTTAACGTATATATTTTTTAGTTTTCCATCAATATTGCAATTAATGGAATCAAAACTAACTTAATTATAACATATCATAAAAAATACTCGCATGACATTAATTTAAAGGTAAAATAACATCTAAATCTTTAATTGAAAGTTTTAGTATAAATGAACATAATAAAAACCATTGAATCAGGAATGATTCTTCTCATAAAATGAATATTCCTCGTCCATAATTATTTTTTCAAATATTTTATATGAAAACATTAATTTAACATTTTATATGTCCAAAATTAGGTGGCATATTATGAGTCTGAAAAATATGAAATTTCTTTATAGGTAAGGAAAATATTTTATTTATTAGGTGTGGATATTTAAATTAATATAATTAAACTATCTTTGTTTAAAAATTTCACACGAAATTAGGAATATAAAATTAATATATGGGTGAAGAAAATATTTATTTATTATTCAAAAGCCTTTTCTATTTAAAAAAATTAAAAATTA